TCAGTTAAGGTTGAGGCTATATGGACTTTAGGTTATCATTAAAGACTGATTATTATTTGGATTTGAAAGAGACATTTGCGGTACCGTCTTTTTGGGCGGAATTTTGTTTCTATTTTTATTTTGGACAAATTTGGTTATTCTTGTTCATTTGAAAATAATAAATTTAGTCTTTTTCTTGATTTAAATCTTGTAGGTACCGGTTCTTTATCTGGATATGACAATCTGTACTTGCTTAATTCAGTTGCCTCTTATAATGAAACATTACATGTAAATTCACGAGTTATTAAACGTAAATTAACCAATGAAAATTTCGCTTCATTATGACACAAGCGTTTAGGTCACATTTCTTAGAAGAGAATTGAAAAACTGGTGTCAGAAGGAATTCTTAATTCCCTTGATTTTCCAGATTTAAGTGTTTGTGCAAATTGCATTAAGGGAAAACAAATAAATATAAGAAGATTAGGTGTCAATAGGACTTCAGATATCTTAGAACTAATTCATACGGATAATTGTGGGACATCCCTTCGGCTTCTTGGAATGGTCAATAGTCATTTATTACATTCATAGACGATTATTTCCGTTATGGTTACCTGTATCTCATTCATGAGAAATCTCAATCATTGGATGTGTTCAAGGCTTATAAGGGTGAAGTTGAAAATCAACTCGGCAAAAGAATAAAACACGTTAGATATGAATGTGGTGGTGAATACTATGGCAGATATGACGGATCAGGAGAACAACGTCTAGGGCCTTTTGCTAAATTCCTAGAGGAATGTAGAATCGTCCCACAGTATACCATGACAAGTTCTCCTAGCATTAATGATGTTATTGAAAGACAAAATAGAACACTTAAGGACATGGTAATGAGTATGATTAGTCATTCCACATTACCAGATTTCTCTGAGGAGAAGTATTAAAAACTGCAGCTTATATCCTTAATAGAGTTCCAAGCAAATCAGCTGTCAAAACCCCTTATGAGCTTTGGATAGGCAAAAAGTCTAGTTTGAAGCACTTACACATTTGGGGTTGCCCAACTGAGGCAAGGCCTTGTAGGCCATCAGAAAAGAAACGAGATTCCAGAACTGTCGTTGCTATTTCATTGGATACTCTGAAAGGTCAAGGGGTTACAAATTTTATGATCCCACTACCAAATCAATTTTCGAAACGGGAAATGCCCGATTCTTTGAGGATGTGGAGTTTGTGGGGGAAGATAAATGTAAGGATTTTGTCTTTGAGGAGGAACGTATAAACATCCCTCATATTGCAATTGATAACGATCAGGACCAGGGACAAATTCTTGCTCCACATCTTATTCAAGAAGCAATTTTGGATCGAGACAATATTCCAGAACCCCCTATAAACAATCAAGAATCAGGTTCAGAGACAAATTCTTACTCCAGATCTAGTTCAAAAAGCAATTTCTTTCGGATCAAGACTACATTACAAAATTCCCCTATACATTATGAAGAGATTGTTCCAGAAAAACAAACTCAACAATTTCAAGTACAAACGCCATTAAGGAGATCCACTAGAGAAATGAGAAATGCGATTTCGGATGACTTTATAGTATTTCTCCAAGAACATGAGGATGTCATTGGATTGATGGAAGAAGATCCTATAAACTTTTATCAAGTAATGAAAAGTAATAATTCTCAAAAGTGGATTGATACTATAGATTAGGAAATAAAGTCCATGAAAGACTCTTTCAGGATTATAATGGCACTTGTGGTGGCACATTTTAATCTTGAGCTACATCAGATGGATGTAAAGACGGCGTTTCTTAATGGTGACATTGATGGGACGATATATATGGTGCAATTAGAAAACATTGTATCAGGAGACTCAAAGAAAATTGTTTGCAAATTAAAGAAATCCATCTATGGGTTTAAGCAGGTTTCTCGTCAATGGTATCACAAATTTCATCAAATAATCATCTCGTTTGGTTTTGAGATTAATGTGATTGATGATTGTGTATACCACATGTTCAGTAGGAGTAAGCATATATTCCTGGTATTGTATGTCGATGACATACTACTTGCCTGCAATGATATTGATTTATTGCACGAAACCAAGAGATTTCTATCAAAGAATTTTGAGATGAAAGATCTTGGTAACGCCTATTTTGTATTAAGGATTCAGATACATCAAGATCGTTCTCGGGGTATTCTTGGATTATCACAAAAGAGCTATATCGATACGATACTTAAGAAACTTGGGATGCAGGATTGCAAATCAGGTGATACCCCTATTGGTAAGCGAGACAAGTTTAATATCAATCAATGCCCTAAGAATAACCTTGAAGTAAATGAGATACATAAAATTCTCTATACTTCAGTAGTTGGGATTTTAATGTATCTCATTTACTTTTCACACATTTGGATATAGCATTCATTGTTAAAATGCTATGCAGATATTTTATTAACTCTAGGATGGAAATTTGGAAAGCAGTCATTAGTTATTCGATATTTATAGAAAACTAAGGATCACACGATCACATTCAAGAAAATCAAACCAATTGGAGATCATTGGATATTCTAATTCTGATCATGGAATATGACTGCAAAATATTGTCACTAGACTGCATATTTTGGTCTCATGTTGTCATTTCAAAGAACTGAAGTCACAAATAGCAATCAGTACCACGTAGCGATGTTCAGTAATTTATAGATAGTTACGTATAATTAATTTCTTGATAATGTCTAGCTATATATTAAATAATATTTTACTTAGTTCAATCCAATGTACTTCTAGATGTACTGGAGTCATTACTCATGAAACAACCATCGCTATGGTCAAAATAAACTGCATACCACAATTCGTAGAGTAACAGATCATTCAACCCAAATCGTAAAGCAACCTCTATTAGTTGATCTAGGTCAAATTGTCGTCGGCTGAACTAATTTTTTTTTTTTTCATAATTTGCTAAAATTATTTTAATACGACCACGATTTGGCTCTTGCACTATGAAAATGACATAAGGATCCCTTTTTCCACTTCAGAAGACATGGCAAAAATATTTTTATATAATGAAAATCTCAAACCTTAAGCATAATCTGCAAGGGTTGATCGGTCTCATCAAGAATAATAATAGCAGAAAATTACATCTATAATGGAAATCAATCTCCTTTGTTGATTCAGTTACAAGTATCAACACTAATATTGTATGTGATCTCACTAATGACATCCGTCAGCAATTATTCACCGTAGTCTCATTAATAATATTATTGACAATCATCGATTGAAATAATCAATAATGCCGTTAGCAATTATCGGCCTACTTCGATCCCTCATCGAATCCATGATAATTTTTGTTGTTTTTTACTTATTTGATTTTTTTTAGTAAGAATATTTTGTTGTTGAATTAACTTTTGGGGAATTAGGCCTAATGTGATAAATAAAGAACATACGCCACAAAACCGCTTTACGAGCTCGTCCTTGAGCTTTACTTATCAAGCTCAACTCAGCTTGTTTGGCTGAAATTTGAGCTTGGTTCGATCTATGAACTCTTGGTAGAACGAGCCAACTTAGCCCGTCGAGAAGGCAAGTGACCCATGCCTACCGCCACCCTTATGTAAAAGGTTATCGATGCAATTTTATTTGATGCTTGAGCATATATGCTTATTGGAAAATAAATAAACCCCTGTTTGATTTCATTTATTTTACTTTAATTTATTTTTCATATTCACACAATAAAATATTCTATACGTAAGCTAAAATTTTTTTCTACTTTTGAACAATACATTCTCAAAAAAATACTATTCTAAACATAATTTTTTTGAAATAAAGGCCACCAAACACGGGCTAAGTACTTCGGGCTTTTCGCACATAAACTAATTATTTTAACAAAAAACAAGGGATTTAGTAGGGATGACAATGGGGAGAGTATGGGGCGAATCGACGATTCTCGTCCCCCACTCCGTTGAGTACTTTTTGTTACATTGCCCCATCTTATACCCGATTAAAGCGGGATGGTGTGGGAGTGGGACATGTCCTCACCCCGTCTATAGTCCTGTTTATTTTTTGTTTTATTTTTTTGCTGTTATTTTTTTAATATATCTTTAGTTAGTGAATATTGTTATTATTTTTTTTCAATGTGTTAAAAACAACTTACGTTTTCTTTAAAAATGATGATAAATCATTTATTTTTATTTGATAAAAAATTTAATTTTGAAATTATTTTTAAACGAGGCGGCTAGCGGGGTTGGGACCATGTTTCTCGTACCTGTCCTGTACCCGTTCGCCCCGTTTATTTGATTAGGAGGGTTAGGTTGAACGAGTTTTTTTTACCATCCCTAGAATTTAGGATGAAATTTTGATGAAAGTTACAACTTGTACGTCGACTTTGAGTTTTGAATTGGATATCAAGTAAACATTAATTTAGGTTTTTTTTTCTTCTATATTTTATCCAAATTCTCAATAGTATATATGAATTAACAAGTTTTTACTTTTTAGTATGTTAATCATATTCCATTCAATTTGGGTCAAAATTATATTCATATACTTATTAGAGGTGCAAGTTGCAAATAGCAATATTATTATTTTAATAATTATTCTTTTCTTTCGTTAGACTTGACAAGATATTCGTTGTGAATATTTTGAGATTGTTTGGGAGATATCTTTGGGGGAAGAATTGATTTTGAATAGTGATATGATGATAAATTTGTGGTTGAAAAAGAAGAAAAAATTATTGATGTGATGAAAAATATTATTTTATTGAAAAATATGTGGTTGAAAATGAGAATTCATTTGCTGTAGAAAAATCTAAATCTCCGGTAGGCCTTTTATAAATTCGATTTCTACTACTCACTGCCTCTCCTACTCCAAATACATATGCGCCTCCAACAAAGGAAATAAAGAAAGAATTTGCGAAGACCTCGAGAGTCGAGTCATAGAATGAAGTTGATGTTTCTATTATATTAATATTAAAACCCTTCGTAAGAATTTCATAATTTTTCTCGGTTTTCTGGGAATTTGAGATTAAAGGGAGTTGAAAATTTTGGATGGGAAAAAAGACGGTGAATTTCTGGGTAGTTTTATGCTGTTTTTTCGTTTTGCTGGGTCGTTTCAATGCCTTTGGCAATGTTGTTTTGATTGGAAAGAATGTCACTTTATCGTTTGAAGATAGGGAAGCTACTTTTGGTGAGTAGAATTTTTTTTTTTCGCCGAATTTTATCGCAATCGAGAATGTACTTAGATTATAGGTTTGGTTATAGTTGAGATTGTTGTTTTTTCATGTTTTAGTTCTAGTGATTCGAGTTCTGGCACTTCGTTTTTTATTTCATTTTTGAGCTCTTTCTTGCAAAAGTTGGAATACTTATCGGATAAATTTGTGTTTTAGCTCACATATTCCGTGCTTAAACTTAGCTGGGAATTGGAATCTGAATTGAAGTTAGACGTGTTAAGTGCATGATTGGCAAGTGTATTAGTCGACTTGACGATAAAAGGAACAATATTTTAGCTTCTATTTCTTCTTAGTAATGTTTGGTGCTATCAAATCCTTCCTACGGAACATGCTAAAAGCGTGATACTTAAGTCAAATTTTAGCGAAAAATATAGTGAAAATATTGGGATTAGCTGGTTTTTGTAAGTCAGGCAATGCATATTTCATAATTTGGAATCAAGATGGATGGGTTAGGATTCCTTTAAACTGAGTGACGATGCTTTTTCCCCCTTTCTAAATTCTTGTGGTTTTAGTCTTGATTGAGCATTTACTGATAGACTTTGTCTGTGGTAATAATTTCAGCTCTACCTGTGAAAGGTTTTGGTAAATGTGGCACACTGCATGTGGCCGAACCTTTAGATGCATGTTCACCATTGACTAATAACGTTGTTCTGAAAACAAACTGCACCAAATTTTCGTATGTTTTGATCATCAGAGGAGGATGCAACTTTGAGAAGAAAGTCAGAACAGCACAAGCTGGAGGATTCAAAGCGGCCATTGTTTATGACAACAAGGACAGCGATCTAGTTGCAAGTAATGGCTTTTTCCTACACGCAACTTTATACCTGTTATGTTGTTAGTTTAATGACTAGGTATGATTTCTTTGCTTCAATTTTATACTCTAGAAAACACGTTTCATATGATTGGCATCCGACTAATATCTTCATAAGTTATTTGTGAGTTTTTCTTTGAAATGTTTGAAGTAGGATGGTCATTTTTGTTTTTGGTAAAGAATGCTTGCTTTAAATCTTTTGGAAATTATAGCAATAAACAGAATGGAGTGGAGGAAAAGGATTCATATAGCTAACATCCGTTGTTAGTGTATAAAGAATTGCTGTTTTTGGTATACAGAGTAGCCTTTGTTTGGCCAATATATGCAGAGTAGTTCATCACTGGATATCACAAAAGCATGCCGACTATGCTACGACTGTGAGAGCATACTAGCACGAATAAATTATGTTCTGGAATTCCCAGAACGTAATTGCCATCTTATGTGCTGGACTTCATTCTCATTAGCTTATTTCTAGAAATAAACTACAAAAAGAAAGGCTGTGATTCTGATATATTAATTCGAGGGGTGTCAAGAATTCTCTCAGTTTATGGAAATATGAATCTGTGATCTGTGTTTTAAGAAGATGAGATAATGGAACAAATGTTCTTGTCCTTCTCTTAAATGATTATTGATAGTATATTCAAGATCTGATGGTTAATTATAATATGCCGGAGAATTTTTTTCATGATGAATGGTAAGATATAAGAGCTAGCCTTTTAGCCTATGTAATGCAGTTGGCAGTTGAGCATAAGCAAGTATCGCCACTTTTGTTCCTGTCCCTGGAAATCCAAAAGGATCAGCATTCAGCAGTATTCACGTCCATTATACAATATTTATTATTTTACGAATAATTCAGTTATATTTTAAGCATTTATTAATCATTTACTTTTGAAATGCAGTGGCAGGATATTCTGCTGGTATAAAAATATATGCTGTGTTTGTATCCAAAGCTTCTGGTGAAGCACTGGCAAATTATGCCGGCATTCCAAACATGGAGCTATGGCTAGCCCCGAGTTTTGAAAAATCAAGTTTTTCGATCATGGCTACAGCTTTTGTCTCATTACTTGCCATATCTGCTATGTTAGCTACATGTTTATACTACTGGAGGCATCGTAATAGAAGAGAATGGACTCGAGTTCCACACATACGGGAATTCCATGGGATGAGCAGGCGTCTCGTGAAAGCCATGCCAAGCCTAAATTTTTCAACTGTTTTGGAAGATAATTCTACATCAAGTACGTGTGCTATATGTCTTGAGGATTATAATGTTGGAGAGAAGCTTAGGATTCTGCCATGCCTCCACAGTAAGTCGTCTCTTATGTTTACATGATTCTGTTTACTTGTACAATATGAAATACCACCGCTGGAACTGTCTCAGACCTCCCTGAAAAAAGGGAAACCAACTGGTCAATAGAAAGCTCTATTTCTCTGCCTCTTCAAGTCGATTGCTTTATGATGGGATTGTCATTTAACCACCGAAAAAGTAATTAATTGTATCTTAATCATTCTGTACGTTCTTGTTGAGTAACTTTTATCATGGAATTTTGACAGTGTTTCATGCTACTTGTGTTGATGCTTGGCTGACATCATGGAGAACATTCTGTCCCGTTTGCAAACGTGATGCAAGAACTAATACTGGTGATCCACCAGCATCAGAATCTACACCATTGCTATCATCCAGCCCAGCTTCTGTTTATTCATCTTCTGCATTGTCATCTGTTATATCATCATTAGCATCATCCTCGGCCATACAGATTGCCACGTCATCATCTCGGTCCCCTTCAGTTTCCTGTCCCCATTCCATCTTTAGCACTTCTTATAACCAGCAGTCACTTCTGTCTTATCATCAATCTCCTCACATTAACATAAGCAGAAGCTCGGTCGACTTCAGGAACACGTGTTCTCAAAGATCTCGTAGTGCTTATTTTGTTTCTCCTCACTCGTTAGGTTATCCTTCATTATCACTCCTAAACTCCAGATACATGTCTCCCTACATTCCGAGTCCCAACAATGTTTCATCAAGTTACATCGAGTCCTCTAGTCGTCCGCCTAATCCACTTCATTATAGTGAGTCAGCTTCAAGTTTTACACCATTTGCTTCGGATCAATCTCTTCCGGGGTGTTAATAAAATCGCAGTTAATTGCCTTGACTATGGTAGGAAGTTTGAATGGTGAGAGTTCATCACCTCGTCTGTATACAGTACTAGGAGATTTGTACCATCATTAGATTAGCCGACAGTTTTGGTGTATAAATCTCGGTTTCTTCTGAAATTACACACATATATGGTGTTCATTTTCTATTTGTTTTGGCTTGGTTGTGAGTTTTGTCTATTGGGTTCTTGGGTCCTTTTGGTGCATATAATGTTTTTACTAGTTTCCAAAGAGGGTAGGTGCCATCTTGAAGAAATTTTCTGCTCAAAAATTGTTCTTTATTCTTGTTTGTAATGACTAGCTAGCCGTTACTTCAAATAAAATATAATTACAATTCTGTAATTAAATATTACATATCCTCTTCACTTTGATACCAGAAGATAGCAATTGTTCGTTCATGACATTGTATGATATGTTGGAATAGACAGAGAATGCTCGCTATCAAATCATGGAGAGTCGAATCCTTATCCCTATGGCTAAGACACAAGTTAAAAGGATAAGACAATCTTCCCTGTCAACGGGTCTATGTGACTTGATATTTTCTTTCTGATGGGCGAACCTCCCACCATGATCGACCTGATCTTGACTACCACCACCACCGCAGAGGTTCCTCCTTACCAGTTGTGAAGATCAGTATCATATAATCATAAAACCTAACCTGATTCTCATCTATGGACTTATAAAATCAATCAAGCACAGACCATTAATGCGCTTTTGTGTTACACTTTTCTCTAGCCTTCAAGAAAACGTGAAATTTGCGAACAAATATCAGTTTCTTCGATGCTTTCTGAGCCAATAATCTGTTGGTAAAGAGGGGAGAAAGAAAAACAGAAGTGTAACATCAGCGTGCAAGTTTACACGACTTTTTTAGCCAAATGACAAGCAATACAGGTGTTAAAAAGGAACACATCGTCTTTCTCATTGCTGACATTAGTGAAAAGAACTGGTTTAATGTACTTATTTTTTCATGAAGACAGCATTAGAGAATATAGAAGCCCCACTTACCGGAAAATTACTCCTCGTTTCCATCCCAAACAATCATCTTTGGCAGCTTAGTTTTTTCATCGACTTTAAATGATTCAGCAAAGTCTCCACCCCAACATACCCAAATATTAAGTCCCAATTTGCAGATGCAGAAGCCTTAAAAACAATTATTAATCCCATCAATTTCTCATCTTTTGCATCCTGAATAATGGTTAACAGAATTTTCCTCTTAGGGGCTGCTTGGGAGTTTCTGGCTACCGGTTATGGACTTTTTTAAAGTGCTAGTTTTGGGGGTTTATGAGTGGACCAATTTTAAATGGTTTAGTAGCAGATTATCGTTCCCACATGGATTATTATCTAACCGTTTGTTTAACTATTATTAACTTCAATCCGATTGAGGACAAATAACAACGATTCTTTTTGTGATTTTTATTTTTAAAACTATAGATCTACGGAATGTGTTTTAGTGTATTTTATTATATATATTTTTTTTTTATCAATGGTTAGAGTGTTAGGATTACGAGTTTGTCAAAGCTATCCTCCTAGTTGATTTTCGTATTTCCAGTTCAAACCAATCCTACCCAATTAAGGGCAAGGAGAAACCTTGTTTGTATAGCACATCATCTTGAAAAACGAAGTGAGCGGCTCATCTTCTGAGCTTCTGTGCCTTCTCTTTTTCAGAGGGTAATGCTTGGTCCCTGAGGAACCTTATGATTGGCTTCATCCACAATAGAGTATCTTCGACCCATATCACCTCTTTGCCCGTAGCAGTAGAGGGCTAGGAAGGTGTTATATGGGCACAACAGTGAGTAGTTCAGATAAACAGCTATGGACTTATCTCTGGTTGAGAAATTTCTATGAACCTGGCTAACTTCCAGCTGGGAGTCGCTGCTGATTACCAGTCTCTTTACCTGTATTCCCTAGCTGAGGCCAGCTAGGAAGGCCTCGTATTCTGTTGCATTGTTTGGCCTCGAAGCCGAACCTTACGACACAATTGAGCTCATGTCCTTCTAGACTAATCAGGACCACTCCTGCTCCATATCTAGTGTCCCCTAATGAGCCATCAACAAAAAGGTTCCATATGGGAGGTTCGGCAGGTTCCATCTCCTCTTCTAATTCTGGAATAGGGGTGAACTCTGCTACAAAATCTGCTAAGGCATGTCTTTTAACAGCAGCCCTTGGTTTGAACACAATATCAAACTCGCTAATTTCCACTGCCCACTTTAGTAATCTTCCTAAAGCATCGAGCTTCTGCGACACTTGCTTGAGAGGGAAGTTAGTTAACACATTTATGGTGTGGGCCAGGAAATATGGTTTCAATTTTCTGGAAGCTGTCACCAAGGAGAGTGCTAGCTTTTCCATGTCTGGATAGTGAGTCTCTACTACCAAAAGTTCTTTGCTTACATAATAAACAGGCAGCTGGTGACCACCATTATTTCTTATAAGAATTGAACCGATTGCGTTGGGGGTTAATGCTAGTTACAGCTGCAGTGGTTCGTGAGCCTTGGATTTGGAGAGGAGGAAGCCTATCCCAAGTGCTTCTTCAGCTCTTGCAGGGCTACTTTACAATCCTCTGTCCACTGGAACTTATTTCATTCCTTCAAAATCTTGAAAAAGGGTAGGCATTTGTTCATCGCCTTTGAGACGAACGGTTTAAAGCAACTACACATCCAGTGGGGATCTGCACCTCTTTAGGTTTCTGAGGTGATCTCATTTCAATCAAGACTTTGATCTTCTTTGGGATGGTTTCAATGCCTCTTTGATTGATTATGTAGATTAGAAATTTTTTAGAGGCAACTCCGAAGGTACATTTTAGGGGGTTAAGCTTCATCCTATACTTCCACAATATTTAGAAATTTTCACCTAGGTGTTTAATATGATCATCTGCCTTTAAGCTTTTTACCAGTATGTCATCCACATATACCTTCATTGTCTTTCCAATGAGGTCAAAGAACAACTTGTTGACAAGTCTTTGATTGTTCGTTATGAAGGATGTATGCTATTCGTTAGTAGGAAACATCAGGATTTGATTGTACCCAGAGTTGGCATCTATGAAACTAAGTAGTTCGTGTCCGACTATCAAGTCCATTAGTTGGACTATTCGAGTGAGTGGAAAGCTATCCTTAGGGGCAAGCTTGATTCAGGTTTGAGAAATCTACACAACCTTTCTACTTGCCATTATGCATTTTGACCAGGATAGGGTTAGAGACCCACTTGGGATACATCAATTCCCGAATAAAGCGATTGTCGATTAACTTCTTTATTTCATTGTTTAAGGCTTCGTATCTCTTTGGATTGAGGCATCTCGAATTCTATCTATGAGTTGCAGCCTTAGAATTGATTTTCAAGTGGTGGCAACTGACTTTTGGATCAATGCCAACCATGTCTTCATGCTTTTAAGCGAAGACGTCCAAGTTTTTTCGCAAGAAGCTTTTCAGCTTTTCTTTGGCCTCTAGTGGTAGATCTTTTCCAACCTGCATGCATTTGGAGGGATCCTAAGGATTTATTTGGAAATTCTCTAGTTTCTCTACTGGGGTTTTTCAAGGCTCATAATTGATGATGCGAGGATCCAGTTCCTTCAAATTTACCACTTCTTCAGCAACTTTCCCTTCTTCAAAGGATACTTCCGATTCTTGGACAACCTTTTCTTCAAAGGTGTTTATGACTTCAAGGACCGCCCCTTCTTCAGAGGCGTCCATCGTTTCGACGTCTTTCCCTTGTTCAAAGTTTTGTCCTTGTTCAGAGATGTCATCCATGTTAATGTCTATTAGGATTACATTGACACTTCTCGGTTTTGCTTTCCTAAGGGAGTTTGAATAGCTTTCCCTTACACTCTGGTCGCCTATGATCGGGGCAATGCCATTTTCTGTTGGGACCTTTATACATAAATGGTGAATGGACGTAGCGACCCATAATTCCTTTAATACTGGCCTCCCAAACACTTCATGGTAGGCGGAGCGATTGTCCACCACTAGAAATTCCATAAAATGATGAGCAGTTAAGGGTGATGTTCCTATCTCCATTGTTAGAGTAATTTTACCCCTTATGACGATGCTATCGCTAGAGAAGCCATATAAGGGAAAATTTGTTAGGGTCGGCTCTTGGTTAACTTCCATTTTATCAAAGGTGGCTCCAAAGATGATATTGACAGAGCTTCCATTATCTACTAGCATCCTTTTTAGGTCATTATAGGCTACAACAAGCCTCACCACTAGGGTGTCATAATATGGACAATGTATACAAACTGCGTTGTCTTGGGTGAATGTGATGGGTTGAACACTTGATATAATCCGGGATAGGTAATCACTTGATCGAGTTTTGGAGTCAAAATTGAAGAAGTTAACAAGCCAAGGTTCAAGTTTCTTGAAGGGCTCGGGAGCCGAAACGAGATGTATTCAATGTTTGGAAGATATTTGGAAAGAAAACGAGTAACGTGGATGAAAATGGGCATGACTTTAAGCTCGGTTATCGGATTTTCGCCCATGAATACATTCCAAAAATGGCACAAAATTCTGCAGAAGGCTACGTAGGCTCATGGTACTTTTGGGCTTGCGATAACACAGAAACATGCCGAGAACAAGTTGGCGAAATTTTCCAAGTTTCACGAGATTTCCTTGTTAGTGTAGGATTGTATTTTATTTCCAATTTTGACAATATTCTATGACCTAATTACGTTTTATTAGGGTTTCTAGCATTAGTATAAATAAGATATTTATTTCATTGTAAAACTAAGAACCTTTTTGATATTATGAATTAAATGAGATTTCTCTCTTTTTGTTCTTGATTGAACATGTACCGAACTTATCAAATATTGTTATATTTGTGGTGTTCAACCCTTAGAACTCATCAAAGGGTAGAATGCCACAAATATAACAATATTTGATAATTCAGTACATGTTTAATCAAGAACAAAAAGAGAGAAATCTCATTTAATTCATAATGTCAAAAAGATTCTTAGTTTTACAATCAAATAAATCTCCTATTTATACTA